TGGCAAAAAACAAGTCAATAAAAAAGACTGTAAGAATAAAGATGTGAAAATGACTTCTAAGGAAGAACTTCACAACACTGCATAAATAAATTAAGAGGTTTCTGAACCTGCAACAGGCATGCTAATCCTAGGAGCGCCAGCTACAATTCCTGGCTGCGTGCCCCCTGCAATAAATTCAACTTTCTGTGCTTTCTTCTTCTCTTGCTCTTTCCTCTCACTTTCACGCCTCATATCAGCTTCTGCTTTGTTATAGTTAAGAGACATGACATGAGCAAAAAGGAGTAGTCAATGGAAAAACGCAATAACAGCTACAGCATCAATAAATGAAGTAATCTGTAGCATAACAAGTATTACAAAACAACTAATTACAAATGCATGCCATGAATGATACAAAACCTTAACATACCAAAAATAGTAGCTCAAACTAGACAAGTATTTTGTTCACTTGATAAAGACCAACAAAATTTGACTACAAAAGGGTGCAGGAAAAATCCCAAAAATCAGAGGTATCTTTAAAGTAACGTAGCAAAAGAAATCACGATTTCTCTTAACAGTTATTCACAATACTTGGTTTGGTCAAATATATTTCACCACCAAGAATGACATAATTACTCCAACCAAAACAAGCTTTAATAAGTTACTCCTGAAAGTCAGCCTAAACATTGACGTATCTATGAAACAGAGAAAACACTTTCTACGGTTGAAAAATTAAAGAAAATTCTAAAATTGAAATCCAAAAAATATGTACGACACAACACATTCTTCAGTTAATTTAACCAAAAAAATATTTAACATTGAAATCAAAAAATACGTGGGAGGTCTGCAATTTACTTGAAATTAAACCATCAGTTTACAGAAATAAAAAGCCAACAATCACCTGCTTCTCAGAGAAAAAAAAAATGTAGATAAATCTAAACTATACAGAGACACTGGAAGAATGGATAATAAAGGTGCAAAGTATACTTGAATCATAGAAGCAGCAGTTATATACCTATTTCATCATAGAAGTCACTTGAATCATATCCATGAGGATCAAATACATCTTTACTGAAGCAAGACCCAATTTGATCAATATCCTGGTACCTCACTGCATGCAGTAAGAAGTCAGGGTTTCGATAGTCCTTCCTGTTACGAACTTCTGCATTAAAACTTTTTCCAGCCTTCTTGTACTCCAGGAATTTATTTATTTTTCTCTGTCATAAAATAAAAGTAAGAGTCAGTAATCTATACTACTTTTCAATGCTTTCTTCGTATAATATTTCTAAAATATATTCTTTGATAATATTTTTGTTTTCGTCCTAGATGAAGACAATGACAATGTTCAAAAATAAGAAATTGTTCTATATTTCACAATTCATGATTCTAATGTTGTCCATGGATAAAAACAACAAAGTACACCTTCACACTTTGGTGGTTAGATGATTAGATTCTTTCTTTTAGTTGTTCACTGATTTCAATTACTGAGGTTGACACTTTGGTTTTCAAGTCTTTTATTTTGGATAAACATTATTTGGAGGATTTGGATGCTTAATTATTTAAAGACTTTTATTTGCTACGTATTTATGTATTTGACAATTCAATTAGGTTTGTAGCAGCTACGAAATGTTAGATATGATCATATCCTATTCAAAATTGTTTGAACTGTACATAATTTTTTTGTTTTTGAAACTTAGTGAGTCAACACCTCCTAATCTACCAACTGTAGTGGGTTGAGCCTGGTTGAAAAAATTTTGGCTTAACAAAAAGTGAATCAGATTGAACTAATCCATTTGTAACTCAGCCGTGTGAGCCAGGTTGGCTTACTTAATCCATACATGCATAAATCATATACTTAACCCTATACTCACTATTCTTGCAAGCAGTTAACGTGATTCTGAGTGCAATTCAGCGTATTAATAAATGCAATCTAAATTCATGGCTTTAGAAACTGTATAAAATTGGATAAGAATCTTATTATTCTTGTGACTCTACTAACTGTGATGCCCCCACAAAAGAACAGAGGATAGGACCAAAGTAAAAGCAGTAAGCTAATACATGCTACTTTATCATACATAAAAATGATTCAACAATCTGATAATAATTAAACCATTTTAACAGAACTTACTTGTAGGTCCTCTGACCATTTAGTTTTTGGTGGGGGAGGAAGAAATTTATCCAATGGATCTACATATCTTTGATCATCTTCACCCAATTCTGCATCATCAGATTTGATGACATCATCATTGTTCAAGGTATCAGATTTCAATGGTTCGGATAATTGAGGCGTGTTAGCTTGATTGCTAGGTGTCAAAGCTTGGACTGTTCCTAATGGTGTTCTCTCCAGTAAATCCCCTGCAATAACATGATCCATTAGGTACTAGGATGCAAAAGAAATGCATCTACAACAATAGTATTGTAATTGAATAAAAAAAAGGTAATAGCATCTTCAGAAAATTGAATATAAGCATGCTATTATTCTTAATATATTTACACGGTCCTTTGAAAGAAAAACAAATCGTGAAACAAAATCATCAAAGCATTCTTTTTTATCAACCTCATTCACAAAAAAACCAAGTAAGGAAGGACCAAGGTATACGGAATATTTCAAACCAAGAAAAAATTGTTATATAACCCTAACATCAACAGGTCACAAAGGGCAACTTTAACATGGTGCCAATACTCAGCTCTCTTGAAAGAAAAATCTACGGGTGAATTTGTAAAAGTCCAAAATTTCATTTGGAATAAGCAGCATGACAAAACTACAAAGCAAGGAAATATTACTGGACACTGAAAAAGACTACTCAATTGATGCCTTTTGAACATTTATTATTAGCATTAGCAAAATCATGTTTGGGAAGCTGAAAAATAGGATGATAAGCAAATTGAACCTTGCTAATCAGTTAGCTAGTATAATAATAACTTAATTTTCAATAAATAAAATAAACTCACCATTGGTGACATGAAGCTGGTCCCCAAACATGACTCGACCGCTACCATATATCTCCCCCTCCTGCAATCAGAACCAGCAAACAACCACATTTACAATCCAAACTATCTAGTTTAAGAGAGTGAACACTGTTCAAATAATTAAACAGAGAGTCACCTCAGGTGACATCGCAACTTCGTCATGCCCATAATCAACTATCGTAAGCGCTCCTTTCCGACTAATCCTGGGTTCCTCCGGCGGTGGAGAAACAAAATTGTTATTCTGCGGCGTTGAAGCCCCCTCATCAGCGCCCTCCTTACCTGAATCATGGACCGCTGTTCTATTGGCGGAATCTTCCTCCGCTGCAAATCTCGCATCTGCCGCGGCATCTTCTTCCCTATCTATTCTTGCATCTTCTTCATCGACCTCCATTTCATCGTCTTCCTCGTCGTTGTACATGGACAACAACGCGATGCCCTCTGAGTGCTTCTTCTTGGACGCCATGGAAGCTAACTAGGGTTTTCTGGGAGGAATCAGGGGTAAGTTTTTTTTAAAATGGGTGAATTAGAAAGAGGAAGTGGAAAAAGATTGAGGAAAAATCGATGTGGAGAAATTGCAAACGGTAGAGAAAAAAAATTTGGGGCTTTCAATTCCGCATAAAAGACAAATACACAGTATTTTACTGTAAAGACACATGTTTATAACACTCCATAAAATGATAGAAAATTAGAGCCGTGAAAATGGTTCATCAGATGGTCATTTAGTGAGTTAATTGAATCTGATTTATTTATTAACGAGTTAGAGAAATTTAAATTTGACCCAATCCATCATGGATAAACGAGTTGATTCATTGACTCATTTAATTACAATTTTTTTTAAGTAAAAATATTATAAACTTTCTATCATTCAAATATAAAGAAATTTCACTCTCAACATAGGTTTAATTAATTTTGAAAATAAGAAACTTAAATAATTTTTTTAAGCAAAAACAAAAATAATTTCACGGGTTCAACCTGCATGAGTCAGGTTGAAATCTGATCCGCATAAAAGAAATACAATTTTTTCAAACCCAATACGGCTCAAACCTGTGATGGACCGGGTTGGCCTGCGGGTTGTGACTCATTTTGACAATTCTAAGAAAAATAATTTGAAATGTATTTTCTTTTTTATGTTAAATATATATCAATTATTTCAAAATTATATTAAACATATTATTAATTAATTTGAGCATTGGAAGGGTGAATTTTGTAGTAATATATAATGATACGTGATATTACAAATACTTTTTAATTCTTAAATATTTTAGAAATTTAGGTATTTTTAATTAAATTATTATTAAAAAATTATCCTATCAAATATTTAAATTATTTTTTGTTTTAATATAGGTATTTTATTGTTTTATTTCATTTTTAATGAAATAGTATAATTATATTTCTCATTTTTCTGTCTAAATCATCTATCAACTTATTCATTTTTATCTTCAAGTGTTTTTTAACTCCAAAATTGGATTAAAATTAAAAAAATAAAAATAACTAAGTTGATGAATAAATTAAAAGTAAAAAAAAATCACTAGAATACTTAAGTAAAAAATATATATTTTTTAAATATTCAATACAACAAATTCTTTTTATAATATTTCAATTAAAAGTAGTATCATTTAAAAGTTCCTATACTGTAGACGTCATTTTAATCATTGATGCTTAGCATTCTAAATATCAGGAAACATACGCGACAACGAATTACAATAATAAGGTGGGTTAGATGCATCTAGTGTTTTTAATTGTATAAAGAAAAAATTATGTTTGATCCGCTAAGAAAAATCATCATTCAATAATAACAAAAATTTAAAAGTAATTCAAGTTTATCAAGGAATTATTAACGATCAAAAATTAGTTAGTAAAATAGTTATTGATAAATTTTATTAATGAATGACGAAATTTATAAATAAGTATTGATAGTCTCAAATCCATATATAAATATTCGTGATTTCTTGTGCTCTTACTAATATATTGTTTAGCAAATATCCTCATAAAAACAACAATTTCTCAAAATTAAAAAAGAGTTCACTACGTATTCTTTAAACTGGAATTTAGAATTGGAATTAAACCTTGTACTATTTTCTATTCTCAAAGATTAAAAATGAACATAAAATTACCTCATATCAGACCTTGTGAGGAAACTAAACACGACACCAACATAAACATAAAATTACAAAAACTGAAGAAAAAAAAGTAAACTAGGGACGCTTCTATACCCTAAATACTTACAAAGCATTACACAGATACACAGAAGCCTATCCCCAAATCAAAATACCTACGAATCAGGATAACAAACCAAGGATCCTAAGAGAAACAAGGTTAAACCAAATGACACTATAAACATGTATGAACGGCAACCTGAAGAAAGTGCTACACAATCAGAGATTCTTCGCACTCGAACCACCCGCTGAAAAAATAAGAGTAGATCGAGCACTATATCACTCCAATCATCAACAACCTCCATCCAAATTTTCGTCCATTCATAGCCGGTTAAGGAAAATCAAGTCGTAACATTTTCCGTAAGTCACTCGTGGCGCAATTCTTGGCCGCTAACTTCTTAGTTATAAAAATCGGTAACGGAACGGAGTTTGGAGGCGGTGACGTCACCAGCAACGAATACCCCGCATACAGGCCCTCTACTTTCTCCGTTGAAGGTGAAGTCGAACTTATATCCACGGTCTTCGTCTGGGTGGTTACCTCGTTCTGGACGGATTCCGACGGCGGTTGTAGATCCGGCGTCTTTTGAGCAAGTAGCTCGCCTCGTTTCAGGATTTTGACCTGGCCCATGACAAGCTGCTGCGGGTGGTGTTTCTGAGGCTTGGCGTGTTGGGCCGGGCCGCGGGCGTCTTGTGGGACTGGATCGGCCCGCTTCTTGCGGCTTCGGGAACTCCGCTGGAACTTAGGGTTAGGGTTGGAGAGTTTCATGTTGGGAAAGTTTGGGGGTATGGTTTGGTAATGGTTGGGTGGTTTGTTTGCGAGAAAATCCTGCGGATGAAGTACTGCAACGTCCATCTGGGAGAAAAATTGAAGCAAAGCAAGAGAAGTGCAGAAGAAAACGAATGGTCTGGAGAGAAGATAAGAATATGATTGGAGAAGATTTAAGAAGAAGAAGAAGAAGAGAGTAGTTGAAAATTCAACGAGTGAAGAGATGTTAGGGTAAAAGGCTTTTATGTGAGCGGAGGCGGCTTAGGGTTAGAAGTGGAAAAGTAGAAGAGGGGTGCTTCGAAGTTATTATAGAAACACTCTCACTCTCACGCGTGACCGTTGGAGCCACGTATTTTTGTTCGGTAAGATTTGTTCAAATGGACGCGGTATTCTTTATATCTTTGTATGGCGCGTGGGACTGGGTTGGGGATTTGGAAGGTCAAGGAAGACGTATTCAAATAAAAATCTTTTTTAACCTTTTTCGGGTACCAAAACTAGAAAAATATAAAAGCGTGGGATATGTGATCGTATGCTTTTTCTATTGTTTAATTGGTGTTACAGAACGTGGTACACGTGGCAGACGATGTGAGGGTAACACAGGATATAATGATGCAACGTGAGGTGATAACCGACATGGGTTTAAGGTTATATTATATTAGTTTCTATCTTAAAAAAAATAATCATACTTTAACAATATTCTTTTATCACATTTTAATATTATTTATATATTAATTTAAAATTATTTTACAATCAATAATATTAACTATAAATATCAACATAAATCAATAACAATAGATAATATTAAAATATTATTAAAATATCCTTATTTTTAAAAGAAATATGTAAACTAATTTTGAGTGGATTTTTATTTAGTTATTTAAATTGAAATAATTTAAAATATAATAGATTAAAAATATATCTACAATCCAAAATATATATGCTCTCAAATAAACCGTTCATAACATATTTAAAAAAATATTTTAAATTATACAAATTTAAAATGTAATTTGTATTTTTAAATATATATTCTAAACATATATATATATATATATATATATATAGCAATCCTAATTTATATATATATTTTTACTAAATTTATTTTTATTTATTAATTTAGATCAATTTTTAAGTTTTTCATGCATGTACTATAAAGTCTAAATTAATATTCAACTCCTTCTATATATGTTGTACACTATAAATACATAAACTTTTTAAAATAATAAATTACTTCCAATTTCATACGTTTAATTTTCCGTGACAATAAATTTAAATTAAGATATATTTTGAATGAATTATTGTAAAAAAATAAATTTTAATTTTTTATTTATTTACAGCAATAAATATATATTTTAGAAAACAAAAAGTTATTTATGTGAAAAATTAATTTAAACAAATAAAATTATAATTATTGTAATTTCATAGGAAACATATAAAAGCAAAAATGGTATTGAAGTTGAATATTTCATTATAAATGTTATAAGTAACAAAATTAATGCCAACACCTTTGATACAACATAGCAATTTAGACTAAATTGAGAAAATATTTGAAAGACTCAGTCTGAACCAATTTGGACTTTTATATATCTTTTGAGTTTTTTTTTTAATATGGATACTCTCAGAAAAAGATAGTCATCTGTTGAGTAAAATTTCAAAATCTTAAAAAACTAAGAGTGTTAGATGGCTTTATTCAACACTAAACAAAATCTTATAGATATTTGAATTATTAGAGAAATACAAATAAAATTATTCTATAAAATCCAAAGAATCACTAAACGTATTTGATTTTATTGGACAGATTTATTTAGATTTGTTCTCAATACTGTCATTGGGCTAGCAAAATTAATTTGATAAAAATATAGAAAATCTAACTTTTATAATATAGAAATAGTTTTTTTATAGAAAGATATTTTTATAAATAGATTAAGTATACATTAATAAAATTTGTTAATAGATGAATTGGATTGAATTTTCAATAATCTTTCTATTCAAATAATAGCTAAAAAAAGTTATTTGAAGCATTAAATTTGTAACTTAAATAGATAAACATTGCTTTATCGAAAGAAGAAAAAAAAACAGAGAATAATATTAGGGAATAAACTTCACAAACAATACCAGGATACCTTACTTTAAATAAATACAGTATAGCCTACTTAATCATCATAGCATCAATAAAAAATCTCAATGAAAATTTATTAAAAACGTTGGACAAAAAAGTCACCACCGAGTATTTATAATTTTATATCACTGATTTACCTTTCTATGATTAACTAAAAGAATACCTACACTAAAATAATTAATGATTAGCAATTTTTCTCTCTCTAACAAGTAGAAGATAACACACAAAACACCCTAATAAATCATTTTACAAAAAGAGCTAGAAAATATATCAACTATATACAGGGATGAAAATAATAAATAAGATATTTTAAATAATATATCATTCAACAGTCTTCGTATAATTGAATTAACTTTTACTTTATTCAAAATAATGTTTATAACCGTTATTATACTTTTAAGATGCGAATGAAAAAATAAGTTGGTTGAAATCTCAAGTTATTATTATTCTAATATGTCACTCTTACTGTAGATAATTAATATAATTAAAAAAATAATTAAATAGATAACGATTCAGAAAGCTAAAATAATAAAATAGTTGTTTTAATTTAGAAAATAAATTAATTTATATTTAAAGAGTGAAATAAAAATATAACATGCTAACCATATGGGCCAAGGCCCAAATGCCATATATTTTTTTATTCTCAAAACAGGCCTTAATCAGTGACCCAACTAAAAAAAAAGTCACATTGGTATTTTGTGAGAAAAAGTGGCAATTGCTTCGGATAACTACCTTTTATCAACAAATTATGTATTAGTATATTTGAAATGAACCAATCACAAGTTATCACGTAAAAAAATTATTAAAAAATATTGTTAAAAAAACATTTTTCCATTGCTTCCTCACCTCATCAAATTTCTTTTCCAACTCCATCAAAACTGCCTCTGAAAAATACTTTAAGAAAAGGGAGATGTTTAACTTTAAGAAAAATAAATTCGAAATCGATTATTGTGTTCTGGAAAATAAATTCCAGAAATAATGGGGTAAAGGAAGAAAATAATGGAGTGCAGGAAGTAAACAATTGCCTTTTTAATTATGTAACTCCTTTCATCTAAAATTATAAACTAATCATCATGTAAGATATAAGAATCCTAAAATAAAACTGAGTATCAACTTTTCCTATTATCATCATTCCTCTTTCAGCTGGTTTCTTCAATAATATGCAAAACATTTTAATATGTATTATATTTAGCGAGTGTTTAAGCATTTATAATAGAATTATTAGATAACAAATATAATTATTAGGTAGCAAAACTATTATATTGGGTGAGTGTTAAGCATTTTGATTAGTCATTAATAAAATGGTCATAATTGAAGCGTGAGATGAGAGTAAAAACACTCCTCGTGGGTGTGTGAGGATATCATTGAGGTGTGTCTGAGTACCTATTATTGATTAAAAAATCTAAAAATTTATATTATGCATATATTAATATAATAATATGATTAAATTTTAAAAATAATCCTCAGAAAACAGATAATTTTTTGTATAAAAAAGGTTGAAAAGTGCCAGGTTGTTATGTTGACGGTTACAGATGCATAATAATTATTATGGTTTGTTAATAGAAGCAATGAGTGTTTTGTATGGTGTAATGATAAGAGAAAGAGATTGAATGCATAGAGCGCTATAGTAATATGGTGGAACGTCTTAATGAATGGGTTACGCTAATTTAAAGCGATAACTAACTAATTATAATGCATCGTTTTCGGGTCACTTAATAACCTCATTTGCCTCCTTTAATCAATCTCTTTCTTTTCATTTCACTTATTTTCAATACTACAAGTGGCGTCTTAATCTCCCGTTAATTAAGCAACTGGTGTGAAGACAAACCAGAAGTCCCCTTGATTAAGCAAATGTCTCATCTCTCCATATCAATATTCACATTTTTTATTCTTATAAATACAAACACACAATATTTTATTATATACATAATACATTGTTATTCTTATGTTTCAATAAAGATATTAAAAAGTGCAATAGAATTTTTAAGCATAGAATAAATTTATTTAAATTATATCTACATATTATAATTAAATAGAAATAATTTGATAAATTAATTGTTATTTATTCAAATTATTATTTATTATATTATTATTATACTTCTCAAGTATAATTCTAATAGAAATATAAATTTATATGTTGATTATAAATAATTACTCTCACACCGTTCTAAAAGATTTTAATTTTTTTAGAATAATTCACAAATTTATATTTAAGATCCTAATAATAATATATTGTTAAAAATTAAAGTGTGAATCTAAATCTTACATTGAATAAAAATGAGAAAGAAAAACATTATATAAAAGTAAAATAGTGTTAATTCTTTATATGATTAAACTCATATCTTATTGATGTATCTTTCTAGTAAACTTCCTTCTCAGTAGACTCAATAAATATATATATATATATATATATATATATATATATATATATATATATATATTTTT